CCCGTGGCCTCTCCAGGCTCATTCCAGCATCCTGCAGCTTCTTCTGAGTTCAAGCCCTAGAGCCACGGAGCAGGACATCAGGGCAATTCCCCAGAGCAGCTAACGCATTAGCCTCATTTTCCTCTCCCCAGAGGATTAGCAAGGCTGTAATAGCACGAAATAAATTCACTAATGGCAGATTCTCAAGACACTTTGTCTGGAAAACTTGTTTATAACTTACAGGATGCAGCCTGCAAACGTGGCTTTATGATCCAGTGACACGGTTGATGGGAGCTGCTCCCAAACAGGGCGATTGGATCTGAACAAGATGTGTCCCAGATCATTAACCAGGCAATGAGGTAATTAAACACCTGCCTGGAAAAGCAGCCTTGACACACATGGCGCAGCTGGAGAAGCACCCCATGGAATCACGGTGGGAAATCAGAGCTTTTGGGGTGCTTCTTTCATGGCTCCTAAAAAAACAAAGCTGTTTTGCCCAAATGGGAGTGCCCTGGAAGAGAGACCATGCCCTGCAAACACTGGGATAAAGCACCAGGCAACCAGCCCGTGTTGGGATGATGGAAAGTTAAACGTGAGGACAGGTTTGCTCCCCTCTGTGCCTCCACACTCAGGTGCAACACAAAGTAATATGCAAAAATACCTGCAGGATGGTGTAGTGCAGGTGGTGGCCACCTGAAACACCTACCCTGCAACAGCTCCCAGGTCTACCTGCTTGGGGGGGAAAAAAAGCTCTGGCCTCGACACGAAGAGCTGACTGAAGGAACAGGCTTTCAGAAAAGAGGGGTCCAGGCTGGAGCACCACAGTTGGCAAGACCCAAAGATCCTTAGGGAGGAGGATGCACACACCAACTAGGAGGGATCACCTCTCAAGGATCGGCTTTCAGACACCCTCCAAACCAAATGCACCTGTGGAAGGGCTCTGCTTGCACAACAGGGACCATCAGGGAGAGGAGACAAACCCTTCCTGGGTGACCAGGGCAGAGGACAGAGTGGTGACAGCCGCTGCAAACCACCTCCCAGCCTGTCTGCAAGGGCAGAGGGCAACCAGCCGGGAGAATTTGAGCCGGTGCAGCTCACAGCTCACAGCAATCACACATGAGCCTCCTGCAAAGCTCAGTCTTTGAGCTGCTATTGCCTGATTCAGCAGCGAGTGCCTCTGTGTCACAGGCAGGGACCAGAGCAGGATGAATCTGTCTGCCACAGCTAATTCTGCACGGCCAGACCTCACCTTCCCCGACTTAATTTGGTGCTCTGAGAAAATTAGACGTTCTCCTGCTTCTGTGGAAAAAGGCAAGCACTGAAGGTAATTCAGAGGCTTTGATGCTGCTCTTTAGTCATTCGGGCACCACAGCCCCGGCATCGCTCCCTGGACTGACCACGGGCTGGGATGAGAGTCACTAATCCTCATTCACAGCGTGTGAGCCTCGGGCAAAGTGCCGTGTCTGTGCCGTGCACGGACAGCGCCGTCCCCCAGCCCGGCGGGGCAGGGACAAGACCATTTCCAGAGCAAGAATTTTAACTTTAATAACCCCAACACCGCGGGTGCCCAGCAGCGGAGGAGTTTGCCGAAGATCCCAGCGTGGCAGTGCCTGGAAATGCCAGAAACACGCTCGGACCCGGGTCTGGATTTGAATGCACTGGCAGCGGGGAACATGAAAGCTGCGCCCAGGGCCGCCTGTGCACAACAGACACGTAAATGATACCCTTTCAAAGTGGTTTTAAACCTCCCCCTCTGAGACTCTGCTGCTTTTTAGGCCAGAGGTGGGAAGGTTTTCACCCCGGGTTCCTCGCAGCAGCCCGGGGAAGGGCTGGGGACAGACACAGCCGCCTCCCTCCCACCCAGAGTGTGCGCTTGGGCTCAGCTCTAACCCAAAGTGTCATCCGGCGCTGGGCAAGGCGCTCTCGATCGCTCTGCAGTGCACAAAGTAAATCTCCAATGCTAACAAACACAAGCAACTGAGGGCACTCGAAGGATTTGGGCTGGATGCTCCGGAGCAAGGACTGCCCTGCTCTGTCCCCACCCAAATCCCACCATGACCCACTTCCCCAAGACAGCAGTGGCACAGCAGCCACCCGAGCGGCGCTTGGGGCGGCTCCGCAGCAGCACAGCAGAGCTCTGAGCCTCTCCTCAGACACAAAGGAGAACACTCAGGCCCGGAACACCTCACCCAAAGGGAGAGGGTCAGGGAGGGGCTGCATTTCTCAAACCTGCTCACCCTCGGCACGGTTTGGGTGAGCCCTGCACAAAGCTCGGCTGCAGGTGCGTCCCTCGGAAGCGCTGCGGGATCCGCTCCCTGTGGAGTCACCGCACACCAAACCCTGCGAATGCCAGGGCTGGAGGGGCAGGTCCCGGGAAGAACAGGGACTCGAGCAGTGACCCCGGGTGCTGAGCTGGGCTGGGCTGGCAGCTGCAGCCCCAGCACTTCCTCAACCCGGAGCGGGGGAGGGAGGGAAGGCAGAGCAGCCGGGAGAGCTGCTGCTGCTCCTGCCCCAGCCGCGGGACAGCTCGGAGCACACAGCCCACCTCTCCTGAGCGGCTGTTGGGATCACTGTCCGCTTTTTCTACATCATCCTTCCTCTTGGAGCTTCCCTTTGTACACTGGGGGCACCCACCACACATTCCTCCTGCCCGGAGCAGAAAGGGCTTTTCTTTGGCAGGAAAGCCGACCTCCAGCTGTTCTTGTCTGATAACACCAATCCCATCCTGAAGAAACAAAGGAGCAGCCACAGAGAGTCACTATCAAATCACATCACTCCTCAAGTGAGCAAACTCCCCATTTACATCCCAGCTGGAGCCCACAGGGTCCCTGTGCCAGCAGGGCTATGTGGGAGCACAGACATCTCTCAGTGGGTGCATCTTCTCCCAGGAACGAGTTCTACTTCCACTGCAGTTGGACAGGAACTTCCCACACCTAAACTTAGGGAACTGCAGCCCTGCCAGCTGAACCTACAACCTGCTGCTCAACAGACACAACCACAGAGGCCCCAGAGAACTCCTGGCAATGCCCACCTGGAAAGTGGGCTTGGATTAGGCAGCAACAATTCTCTCTACTTCTCTCTACTAACACAATCCTTCAGTTTAAAATACCTACAACTCCTTATTTTAAAGGAGGCAGACACTGTCATTGTGGAGTCCCCAGGCCAGACTGTGACAATCCCAAGTGCCAGTTCTCCTTAACTGCCCATTGTGCCTCATGCTGATCACTCCTCCTGTGTCCCATCAGTCCCTCAAGAACCATCCACTGCCACCAGACCCCTTGGAATGCACAACCAGAAGTGACCACTGCCCAGGACACAGGCCTGGCGCTGATGGTGGGACCAAGGGCCACAATGCACCTCTCATTTCTATTTTAATAGATGCAATGGTACCAGGCACGGCGAGCTCAGCCTGTAATTAAAATTCCAGTGCTAATCCCAAAGATACTCCATAGGAAAACTTGATTGAAAGCAATCCTCTTGACCATTCTGCTGGAGTTTCCTGTTCTGAGGGCAATCATGTGGCCTAGCTGCCAATTAATTCATGGAAAGAGAGCAAACACTTTAAACAAACAGTGATCAAAGAGCAGCACAATAAGGAAGCAGGTTTGCCAGGAAGGTTTCCAAGCCCCAAAAGCCAGTGCTCTGCACCTTGCCCTGGCTGTTCCAGGCACAACACACTCCTGGCAGGTCCGAGGGAATCGGTTTGTTCTGCACAGCACATCAGACACTTCACCTTCACCATCCCAACTCCACTGCAGGATAAACCCCTCAGTATTCTTTGTGAGTCTGGTCTGCCTTATACAGGTGACTTAAATAAGGCATTTTTTTTCCTTTTTCACATTTTGAGGTTTTTTCCTAGTGCCTTCCACATGATTTAAGTCACACCACTCCTAACAAATCCCATTCTAGTCACTTTTTATTAACACTGCACCAAAACAAACAAGCCAAGTTACCTCTGAGTGGTGTTATCTGAGCCTGGGGGCAGGAGATCCTCCTCCAGAGCTAAGTGGCCATTCTCCAGGGGTTCAGTAGCCCCAGAACCGTGAACCTCTGAGTGCTTGGGAGGCACAGAGTGCTCGGTGTTCTCAACACAAACTACACGCCTCGGAGGTCAGGAATAAAACTTTATTGTTTTCAAATTTCTTATCTGCCTCCAACTAACCAGTTACCTGTCAGAAGATGTTTGGCACAAAGAGGCCAAACTGCTCATAGGTTTTTGTAACAGTAACTGACTAGAAAGTGGCCGCAGTACAAGTTTTCCTGGAGTCAATCCAGGCACCGCACGGATCCGTGGTAGGAAAGCAGGAGTTTGGTGTGCAAACCAAACGGGAGCTCTCAGTGACCTGACAGAAAAGCTGAGGGGGAAAGAGCAGCTCAGGTGGATTTACACAGGAGATCACCTGAAACAGAGCAGGTGATGCTTGTGCTGATTATTCCCTGGCCTTTCCTTGCCTAAAAGGAAATGGGCTTTACAGGGAAATCTGTCAGTCAAGACCATGTTTTCTAAAAATTGCAATCTGATGAAAAAATTCCTTCCCGTTTCTTTCAGCTCTACACTTTCCCTTTCTCCTGTAAAATCCCCCTGGCGTCCAGACACAAAAGGAATTAGTTATAATACCAGAAATGCCCATTTTGTTTCCATGTTACAAAGATTAAACACAAACAAGAAGTTCCTTCTCCTCCTCCTCTTACCTCTCTCTGAGCACAGAGTCCTCCTGAAAGTACAGAGTCCTTCTGTACTTTGAGAACTCACAAATCAAATCAGCTTGGAACAAAGAAGCAAACATTTGTATTAAAATAATGGGAATTGTTAATCACCCCCATTCATCTCACAAGCACCTTGCATGGAAAGATTTCCACGGAAAAATTCCACCATTTAAAACAGTTCTTCTGTTTCTGACCCTAATGACTAAAAATGGAGAAACAGCACAAAGTCCAGACAACCAAGTGCAGAAGTTCAGGCAGAACAAACTGCTGCCTCACCTTCCAGCCACAGGGCTGAGTGAAAACCCACACAGTGCTGGTGGAAACTTCCAAATACTTTATTTAGGAACAATTCTGCCCATGTGCTGTGGGTTTTTTTCCTGTTTAAGTCATCACAATTATGAAATTATCTGCATTTTCAAAGTGCCCATCACCGTGGCACCCGGGTGCTTTATAAAAAAAAAAGCTGTCTGGCACGACAGAGATGATTTATCACTCACAAACCTCCTGGTCTCCTGTTCCTCATCCCTCATTTCAGGTGTAGCTACTGACCAAGGATGAAGAACAAAGCAACAGATGAACTCCAGAAAAAGATCATCTTGTTTTCAGGCAAGGTTTAGATCAGAGACAAAACGAACAATGAGAGACCCAACTTCCCATGAAGAGCAAGTAGCTATTTCCAAAGCCACCCATGAAGCTATTTTCCCAGGAAAATCCTTGTAGGAATAGGTTCTATACTGTATTCAGGTATTTAACAAAAGGTGTGTATGAATAAAGAAGGATGCTGTTGGCCCAGAGTACAAATTCACCCACCACAGCTGGGGTAACCATTAACATTTGGTATCTGCCATCCTTATCCACAAGGAAAGAGGCTCTATTTTGTCAGTTCTGACTGTTACATTTTTAAAAAATACAGAGACTTCTGGGATTCAAAAGGGAAGGAGAAGTAGCCCCCTTGGCTTCCACAGCCATCATGTGGGAGCCTCACCTTGCTGGTTTAGTTCTCCTGTACTTTTACCTCTGTTTCCCCATCACACCCCGATTTCTAGACCAAAATACCAAATTATAGTGTCAAATAATGGGGCAGAGGGAAGAGTCAAATTATACCTATGCCCTGGTCCATGATAAGTAGATGTGTACTGGCCCTGAAGAGGCCACTGGTCACAGAACGTCTCCAAGCAAACTGGAATTTCCCTGTGCTCCAGATTATTTTCAGCTATTTATAGTGTGTGTTTGTTTCTGACTAATTGCTTGTCTTTAATACACTGGGAGAGAATGTGAGTGCACAGACATACACACAGGACACAGGGGAGAAGGTGGTGAAACTTCCCTCTGTTGGTTTCAGGTGCAGGTATTGGTGTCCTAGAACCTCTTGGAGCTTTTCCTTCAATACAGAATAAAACCTCTGTTTCTCTGGGGGTCCTGGTTAACTTTTGAATCCAAAAATGCCCTTTATGTATCCTGTGAGGCCACTCTTGGCCTTCTGCTCCACCTTGTCCTCCAGAGGTGGGAAAGCAACATGATTAAGGGCCAGGTCAAAGAACAGGGGTTTGCATGGAATGGGCTGGAATCCCGGTGGGAAGTGCACGAGGTTGACTTGCTTGCTGACAAGAGAAGGATCCAGGCAGAAAGTCTCAAACCGTTCCGAGAGTGGCTGAAAGAGACGGAGGCAGAAACACAAATCAGGCACATCAAAGCTGAGGGGGTCAAACAAGCAAAGAGGACTGAGCAGCAGCTGAGACAGAAGAAGATGAAGTTCCTTTGTGTGGCATCTTGGGCCTGTGAAAATTATTCCAACCCCTGTCAAAGGATCTCTGGAAAACCCTCAGCATGTGCAGAAGGAAAACAAGCCTAATAAAATCTCCCAAATACACCAGTCATGACCAAATCCTGATCAGTGTGATCTTTCTTGAGTTGTGAGAGTCACTCAGGTAACAGGTTAACAGTGATGTTCATTAAGAGCCCTACTGGAATCTGCCTGAGCTCTCGGCTCTTACCTTGCCATCCTTGACCTGAGATGGAGACTCAGACTCATGAGGATCGTTTGCATCTGCAAAATTGAAGAAGAATTGGTAAGAGTAACAGGCTTGACCTCGGTGTAAGGTGGGATTGTCTCAGGAACCAGCTGCCCCAAGCTCAGCTATGATCCTTGCTCTCTGCAAGACTATTTTCAGTAGAATCAACTTGCTTTCTAGATTAAGAGGAGCACAAACGCTCAGCTATGGCCAACACAGCTCTGCAGTGGTTCAGAGCTGCTCCTTCACATTGCCATGGGAGTTTCTGAAAAGCAGCAGATGATGAGAACAGCCCCAGGGGGTCTGTTAAAGCAACACTAAGGCAATAAAAGACCAGGCAATCCCTGCCTTATCCCGGGTTTCCAGCAGCAGGCACAGCAAAAACAGCAGTCCAAGAAATCACAGAGTTCACTCAGTTCCCAAAAGTTCCACTGACCAGACTGACACTGACAAAGAGCAGAACATCTCTGCTCTTCCCAGTAGTTCTCAGGAATTCCCCCAGCCAGGCAAAACTGGGATGTGTAAGGACATATTGTGTGCAGCAAAAAAATATTAAACACTAAGCTGTTCTGTGCAGGTTTCTAAAAAGGGTGCACATCCCCATGAAGGGTTTTCACATCCCTAGGCAGGGACCAAGATGCCAAGTGTACAGTCACTGCCTGCCTGCATTACACACAGCTAGAGGCAGCCAGAAATGGGGGGAGAAAAATTAGTTTTCCAGAGCCTGCATGAATCAGAGTGAAGTGGAAAAACATTTGGAACTTCAGAAATTAAATAAAAGGAATGAAATAGCTGCAGGGGCATTATTCAAGATACATCAGAGCAGAGCTGGAGTACAAACTGTAGTATATTACTCACCTAATATAGCTGCTGCTTGCAAGGAGTATTTCTCTGCATTAACTTGAGTGATCAGATCCTGAACATCAGGCAGCTCCTAGGGCATTAAAGAAAATTATTTAAGAGCCTGAAATGTGCCAGCCTAAGAGTCAGAGCAAAGGGAAAACCTGACAAAGAACTAACTCCTGGTGCTGATAAGCTTTCCCAGAAGGGGAAAAGCTCCAATGTCGTGCTTCAGGCACTACAGAAGTTGTATAGGAAAAAATGCACAGGTGAGGAGAAGTGGTAAATTGTTTTGGAGTTGTTACAGGAAGTCTGCCTCTCCTCCAAGGCGAGGGCCAGTTGAAGAGTTCCCACATCACTAGAAAGTCTCTGATGTAATGAGTATTACTCCTCTCCCTGCTTAAAGATCAGTCTTGAATTGTAATGGCCTGGCACTTAATTAACAATAAATACTGGGACAGAGCTTCTTCATAAACTTCATCTCCCTTCTACACACAGGACTGGGCTCCTACCTTCAAGCTGTTCCTGTGAGCTCCAGCTCCTGACTGAACTTCACGGGCGTATTTCAGCACCCTTTCATATAACACCAGAGCTTCACTCCACTTCTTCACCAGAACATAGGACTGGGCAATGAAGAAACACCTGCAACAGTGAAGAGTGGAGTCCTGACATGTTTGTTATCCACACCCTTTGCCAACTCACAGGACTGGTAACAGAGGACATCCTTAAGTAGCACTGGCCAGTTCCCCTCAGCATCCAGCCTCCATTTCACAAGGGAACTGCACCAAAGGCCCATACAGCACACAGACCTTTGGAGCTACAACCTTTGAGGATGTCACATGTGCTAAAGAAAACCTGGCTGTTTCTCAGTCACCTGTAAGCTTTGTACACGAGTGTCTTCAATCCAATCTCTTTTTGGAAGTTCTTGTCCTCTTCTAGGCCAGGAAGTTGTGTCAGTTCCACAAGGTTCTGTGCAAAGGAGAGTCAGAATAACAAATGCAGGCACTGTTTTCCTCTGGAATCTGCTGCAGCAGGAGAAAGCTGCCCCTTCTGACAAGTCAACAGTACCCTCCCATGGAAATAGTTTCCAGTTTTCTAATTATCAGTTTTCTAACCTTGTGAAGGACTCTCATTGAAACTTGTGCAAGTTGCCCTCAGGACAGATTTCCTGACACAAACAGGAATTAGGACAAAGACTCCTTAGATTTCACATGAACTAATTCTTTCATAAGGCATTTCCCTTTCCCATTCACAACTGCTTCAGCCACAGGCTCCCACAGCTAATAGAAAAATTATGGGAGAAACTGAGAAACTGCTTATGAAGAACAAGTATTTTTAGCTGCTACTTTCCCTGGCCAGCAAAAATTAAGGCAGCTCTGAGGGTGCTGCATAAAAGAGTCAGAAAGACTATTTTAAAACCATATTAAAGTGCCCAGCCAAGGACAGCCACTCCAGCAGCACGTTCTGCTCACAACTAGGAGGGGTTTTTTTGTGTTTCACGTAGATGTTGAGCATCTCCAAGGTACCTGCAGGTACTTCAGACTTCACAGGCAGTTCAACTGCACTGCTGTGTGTTCTCCATTAGGTTTTTGTGCCAAAGGATGAAGAATTACCTGCAGGATGATGTCGTAGAGGCGGATGAGGTCCTGTGGCCGGGGCGTGCGCTTGCCGTCCTCGTCCGAGCGCTGCTGCTGCAGCAGGGCCTTCTGCAGCGACTTGGCCATGCTCTCGTTGCGCTTGATGGCCGTGGAGAGCTTGATGTAGGTCAGGTAACTACCCAGAGAACAGAGAAAACACCACCAGAGACTCACTCAAACGTTGCTCTTTGCTCTGGAAAACACCTTCCTCCCCCAGTCTGAGCGGGGGAAAAACACAGGGAAAGTCAACTTTGAGAGTCTGAAGGAAAATGTTTTCAAAGCTGCATGGATCAGATCCTTATCCATACAGTCATCCTTCCAGATGAGAGATGAACAAAAGGAACAAAATCCCCATAAAACAAAATCAAACAGAATTAAAATACCGACACAAGAACACGACTTCTTCACACCAGCACACAGCAATGTTTGCCTATTACCTGTGTAAGTACTGGATGTTGGACACCTTCCCAGAATCATTTTCCAGGGAGTGCTCTCGCTGTTTCTGTGGACATTGGAGACAAAACACTGTGTGATTTACTTAAAACTGGCAGACAAGGGATGAAAAATACAGAACCAACTCAAGGTTTGGGTAAACCATAGAAGCTGTAACAGACTTTCAGGCAAAAGAAAGAGGGCTTCTACACTGCTATTTCCCCACTCCATTTCTGAAGACAGTTACAAAGGTAACTTCTATGCAGCTCTTAATTAAAGAAACCTCAGCACTTCTTACTCTTAAGCAAGATTAACACTGACAAATCAGCCCCATAGAAATACTGTGTTGTTGGAAACAGAAGCTGATGTTTGCTGCTTACCTGGTCTGGTTTCAGTTCTTCCCGGACTGCCTGAATGGCATCTCTGCACTCACTGAGTAAAGACTCAAACAAACGTTCCTTTGTCTCCTCATTTTCTGCCTAAGAGCAAAGGAGATTCAAGACAGCTTAGAAATTAGAAATTTTTGTATGATGCACCAATTAACTGAGGAGAGCAAACAAAGTTTTTCCCAAATTATGGCTTTAAGATTTATTTAGAACTCCGGCCTGTGGCTGTCTGCAACACATTCCAGGGAGCAAACTGCCAGAAATCATGGGGGATGTGGTCAGTGCTGAGGATTCAGCAGCACTGAAGGCCTAGCACACACACAGCTCATGGTCTCACCTCTGCACCAGCCACCTTCCTTCCCAGCAACTCCCTTCCCTTCCTGGATGGCACCAGTGCTGCTCCCAGAGCAGCTGAGGTTGGACTGCACTGTGGGAAAGGCCCAGCGACTGAAGGGCTGAGCAGCACCGAACTGGCAAACTACCAATGCAGGCGGCTCTTGTTATGCTGATTTCATTTTTCTCATGTGGTAAGAACATGGAGATGATTATCTTTTCTCCACTCCCACTCTAGCAATGCTCACTGTGGCAACAATTTGCTTGTTTGACGCATTTTTTTACAGTAACCCTGTATTTTAGCAGCAGGAGTGACCCAGTGCTTCTCTGCTGTCGCCACAGGTTTTGTCAAAAAAGTGAAGCAGCTTTTGGCCTTCTGCCCCAACACCAGAACTTGAAAACAACTCTTAAAAAACAAGTTGCAGCCTGATCTCTGCCTAATTTACTGGCATATCATGTGCCTAATTAAATAAGCTCCCAAACTCGACTCCATTCAGTAACCAGGTGGGGACTGCAAGACTTACTGATTCAGTAAAACTGCCCAAAACCAAACCTCAACCTTAGAAACTGAAGAAGATTAAAGAGCACCAGCACTGTGTTATACCACTTCCAGGTAACAGCATAAAACGAGCAACAGATTTGTTGCAATAAATTTGCAATTGTCCAAATGAATAAAAAAACTGTCTAAAAACAGGCTCACTTGTTTATCTTCCACAGAGCTCTACAGTTTCTGCCTCTCCACTTCCCACATTTGCAAACCCAATAAGGAATGTTATTTTTACTCCCTCACAAAGCCTCAGGTATCCTGAGCTGAAGGCAGGTTTTTTGGGTTTGGTTTTTTTTGCTTTGTTTTTAATTTAAGATTTGCTGCAAGAATTTTTTAAGGTGGGACTGACTCCTGAGAATAACCAGAGACGAGTCTGACTGCATTCTCAACCTCACCCAGAGCAGCACAGCAATTTCACTGTACGCACAAAAATGAAAACAGACACGGCCAGATCATCAGTCAGGCACAAACAGGGAAAGGGCTGGGCCCTGCCATGAAACAAAGGCTTTCCTTTCGAAGCAAAAACTCCTTGAGCTGATGATTCTATGCATAAATGCACACATGTTCTCAGCTGGGAGAGATCAGATCACAAAACTGAGATACAAGTGCTACAGCTGGTGGTTCAAGTGCCCTGACAGAACAGCACAGGTTCATCCTAAAGGGCATCACGAGAACTGATTCCACTGAATCCACTTCCAAAAGCACTCAATCCTCATTTAAAATTTGCTCTAAACCCCTGTGTAACACCTCTGACAGTTATTTTTTGCAGTCCAGAGAGGAGCACAGAATCCTTGAGGCAACACCAGGTAGGAGCTCACTTCTGTCACGCTGCCCTGCAGCCTTCTCACTTTTACAGTCAGTGGGCCCTCGAAGTCATGCCTTCAAACCCACAAAAGGGCTGCCATAAGCAATTTCAGACTTGAATTTGTATTTCAGTTTGGCTTATTTGTTCTGTTTCTCCCATTACCAATAGGATACTGAAGGCAATGGTGTAATTTTGCTGAGAAACTTCATTTTTATACACAACAGACTGGTTTTACTTCTAATTAAACCTTGCAGAGCACTGATGTTGTGTCAGGGTTTTAACTTAGTCAAGATAAACAGAAAGGTGCCAAAGATCCCAGGAACCACAGTGCATTCAGCTGAAGATGGACTGCCTGTCACAACCACAGAAGTGCTTCCAAAAGGCCAAGTTTTAGCCCTCTGGAAATATAAACAGCGCTGCTGCACGCTCAGCTCTCACCAGAACGGGCTGTGATTCTGTACCACAGAACTCCCCTGTTTACTCAGAGCTCCCAAGGAACACAAAGCAAGATGAAAAACAATTCAGCCCACTCTTCTGCCACTGCTTTACAGGGCAACTACACTGAAAAAAGTCCAACTGTCAGCCTGGCAGGATGGAAATTAAAGGAAGGAACTTTGAGCTGCACTTCCACCTGCTGGCCATGTGTATGTGCTTCCTAAAAACAAACACGTTCAGCACCCTTCAATTCAGAACATTTTGACAAGAGTGGGTAACACTCATGTTTCCTACCCAACCACATCCTTTTTATCCTACTCACACTCTTCTTAACACTGTCCCCTGTTCCTGCCTTATCCCTTTGAAGGGTTTTCATTTTAACATTTTTATTTATCATCATTATTCTCCTGGTGACAGAAGGTTTTTTGTGCTGCAAAAAGCCCATCTTTAGTCATAACAGTTGTTACTGAAGATCCTTTCACTGCCTTTTCAAACTGCAAGTGTGTATGCAGCCACTGAAAAGCAGAATACACCATCTGGTCACCATTTCCAAGGAAAAAGCCCCAAGTGGAAAACTTGACTACAATATTCAAGACCTGCATAGTATGTGCCACTACAAGTTCCAGTGAGCTGGACTTCAGTAATCCTTGTGGGTCCCTTCTAACTCAGGATATTCTATGATCCTATGAAGTGTTTCAGAACCACTGTATGTGAGATTGATTTATATCCTCACATTTATTAATCCTCTTCCTGATTTGGAGGATTTCCATAAGTCAGTGAGAGAATGGAATAAAACTCATAGCACCTACTTCACCTGGCAAATTGCTTTCTGTTGCTGAAAATAATGTGGTTAATATGTATCCTTTTTCTTTTGGCTGCCCTGAAGTTGGAGCATTTGAGCAAGATGCTTACAGAAATTAGAACAGTAATTCAAAACCAGTTGCTCTTAAAAACGTAACCTTCACTTCCAAGTGACAGGTTAATAATAATGGTCATCCCGCTGCTGCTGAAAGGCAGCACAGTGTTCCAAAGAGCAGGAATACTCAGAATGGATCTCCCAGACTACCACTTAGCAGACTGTGAAAGCCATCCCAAATGACACCTCAGCTCTGGGTTACAGTCAGTATTGCCACTTTTAGCCTTCCAACCCCAACCTTGAAACAAATAGATTATTCAAAAGCTTTTAGTCAGGGTCTCAGGCACTGCTCTGAAGGAAAGAGGATGGTTAGAAGGCCAGTGCTGGCCCCTGGGTTACCTGAGCAATCGCTGCCTCGTTGTCAGCCAGGCCCAGCAGGAAGATCCTCACTTTGTCTATTTTCACTGGAACAGTTCTCCCTCTCCACTCCACCTCGCTCATCGTGGCTGCCTGCTTAGCTCGAGTCTGGGTGATCAGAGCCTGCACAGAACAGACTCACATTATGAGCCTCAACTTAAAGGGATCCAAAACTTCTTAAATTCACATTACACTTAACTATTTTGAAATCAAAGGGTTTTTTAGGAAAGAGTGGCTTCCCACAGAGCCCAGGTTTGCTTGCTCACTTCTGTTATATCCTGGCTCTTGAATGGTTTGCTGCACCAATATTCATCTGCAACAGAGTGTCAATGGATGTTTCAAGTTGAAGTGTGCAAATAAGTTACCTCCAGTTTTTCTGCAAGAAGACCTTCAGTGCCACCAGACCTCAGTCTCATCTGCATCAACTCATTCATGGCAGATTGGTCACCTGAGAGAATCAACAAATCGAGAATAAACTGGCAGTTTGGGGACAAAGGAGAGAAACTTGCAACTTCATTCTGACTCCATAGGCAAACCACCACAAACTGTTATTCTGTCTTTCTACACAAAACCACAGGTGCTGTTGCAAAATGATTCTATTTCTCCACTGCTAAACTGTCCCAGAACCTGTGCAGAATTTGCCCAGAATATTACAGCTTTGCTGCAATGTCACTCAGAGCAGTATTTAACTAAATCAACATTCCTTCCATGTGGGCAAGCCTTGCTCTTTGCTGGAGATCAGGCAGCCCCTGCCCTTACCAATGTTGTAGGCACAGTAGCGGATGTTGGGCGAGATCTCTTCCACACGCTGGTTATACAGCACAGCCTGTTCTTCTGTGAAAGCATTGGCCAGTTTTTCATAAATGGTCCTACAGCAAAGAACAAGTATTAATGCTTTGGAGTTTGTGTCTCTGCTCTGGAGGATGCTATTTCTTCACAACACCTCCTGCTTAAGTGTACAATTAACTAAACAACTCAGAGTTGCTGTACATACTGTACATACGCTTGCCCCACTGGTTCAATGCTATTTACCAAACAAAGCTGGTGAAGGGGGGAACTCACTTGCACTTGTTGAAAGCCTCCATTGCTGCCTTCCACTCCTGGTGCTCGAAGCGAAGCATCCCGGTGAGGTAAGCCATGTACGCCTGCAGAGAGGAGGGCACGGGAATTCACCCACGGCCTGATTACTACAACCTTTATCACAAGGCTGCTGCGACACCTGCAGTGAGTGACTAAGCCCTGCCCTTTTCATTTGGGCTTCCCACAGAAGGCAACTGATCTGGATGACAGGTTACCACCTACCTACCTCCCTTTTCTTCTTTAACTACATTTCTAAGGAATCAAAGAATCATGGAATGGAATCACAGAACTGATTGCTGAAGAGACCCAAAAGATCATCTAGCTCCAACTCCCCTGCCATGGACAGGGACACCTTCCACTAGACAGGGCTGCTCAGAGATGAAAGCAAAGAGGTTTCTTGCTTGTTATGCAATCAACATGACCCACTGAGGTTACAAAACACTTTTTTTCCAGTAATATGCTATAAAATGGCAGTTTAATTAACTGAGCACGGTAATAAGCACAGTACACAACACAGTTGCTTTCTATTATCCAGGAACTGAAGCCCCAGATCTTGTGTTCTAGGTGGCTATCTCAGGGCATTTAATAAAGATAACTCAAAAGATAAGCACAGTTTCTTAGGTTGTGTTGCATCACCTTAGTCTCCCTCAATCATTTTTACTTTTTTTTAATTATCCACTGCTAGGTAGTTCTTATCTCTTCACCCCAAATCCAAAGGTCTGGGCTGCAAAACAAAATCGAAGTACCAGTGGTTACCTGTGCTTCCAGCTTTGTCTTGGCATCCACCCTGTTGCTCTCACAGAGCCTCTCCAGCTCCTCGGCGTGTTTCACGGCCTTGCGCAGCCGCGACAGCAGGTGGAAGCGCTTGCGGGGCTCTGTGTTGGCCTCCTGCTTCAGCTGCATGGCATAGCTCCAGGCCCTCTCTGCATCCATCAGGATCAACAGCAAATACCTGCGGGGCACAGGGGGATTAATGAGGAAATAACAGCACCTAAAGGAGAATGACATCACCATCAGTTCTTCGCCGTGGGATCTGCGAAGTTCGGTAACGGAAGTTCAGCTTGATCGTGTTTTGAGCTTGAGCAGCTGGAATGTTTCTTAACATTCTAAGCACACAAAGTCATATTATCCCCAACTGTTTTCTGCTGTGTTTCTCACTCAGAAATGCAATTATCCCACTGAGGAAGAGAATTTGCTGCTATTCTGTAGCACCACAGACATTGAAAAGACAAAGAATTTATCGTTTTGGGTCATTCTTCGAATGGGTTCAATGTGTTCTTAACAACACAGGTGAATGCAGCACAGTGTGTTCTTTTCCCACAGAAAAAGAGGAGACAGCAGATGTTTCAAGTGTTCCTTTTCATTCCTGACATGAAAAGATGGGAAATGAGCCCAAAATCCTGGCTTTTATCTTTTACTAATATCAACAACACACACCTCTGAAAAGAAACATTTCTGAGCAGATTGTACAGAATTCCTCCACCACATCCACATGAAAAGAAATGACTGAAATGAACCTTTTCACTAATAAACTGAGTGTTCAGTTCCATCCTGTACCTGTTGTCTGAGAGAATCTCCTCAGTTACTTTCTTCCCAGTGAACTTGTGCCTGTTGCCCATCTTAAAGTTGAGAGTTTTTCGGAGCCTCCGTAGCCTGCGGGAGCAATAACCCCTAAAAAAAGACAACCACACTCAGTTTGGCCAAAGAACAATTTTCCTTCTGCTTCCTGCTCTATCCAAACAGGGAAAAAAGGACTAAAGGCTGTGCCAGGCCATGTTTTAACAACTAAGAACTCCGTGTCTGACATATGGTAAGATGTAGCTCAGACACTGCCTGTAAAGCAGTAGTTAATAGAAAATAAGAAAGGGAAGAAGACATGTAATAATCCCTGATCTTAAAAAATCAGAATTATGTTCTCCATACTAATTGGTTTATGTGTGTTTATTGAATATTGGTATCACAGAGGTGTTGACAAGCAGGCTCTTCAGGGCAATGGAGAAACAAGTGCCTGCCTGCACAGCCACAGAACGCTGCAGCGAACAGAGATCAGCACACATCGAACAGCTCACATGGAACAACCTGTCAGAGGTATTTACTTGGCAGATGAGGTTTGTTGCCTGCTGCAGGGGCGTTACATTTTAAATTAAGAGAAGCCAAGCCACAGGAGGAAATCCCAGTACTTACCTGTACCTCTGGAAGTCCCCATGTCTCAAACCGTGCTGCTGCTGCGACTCCTTCACGATCTGCAGGACTGCGACTCGTGTTAAGGCACATGGACAGCACAGTCTGTCACCAGCCCCTTGTTCCACCCCAAAATCATGGAAGGGAACCCTACAGGTCCCGTTTAACAAATGTGCTGCGAACAGAGGGGCACCCCAAAATCTCCTAAAAACGCACAGCTGAGGGAACTGACGGTTCTAAAGCACTTCATGACTCCACTGCTTGCTTCAGAGCTCGTGAATATCAGCAAGGCCAGGACTCAGACAAACCTCAAGCACCTTCTCCTACAGACACCCATGGGAGCCTTGCTGTCACTGGAGCTCGTTTTGGGATAACAAGCTGTGCAGACACATCCAGGCTCATACAACTGACTGCCCCAGCCTGGCTACACAGCCTCCCCAGCCATGCTTGTGACACGGTTTTGACAGCAAAACTGAGGTAGAGAGAAGCTTTCCTGCCCTTAAACCTCCCATCTCCCAAAAGAAAAAGGGCACAAACACCCTGAACAGAATCACTGCTGCCTTCCCCACACAGCTTCCACAAACAAACAGCTTTCTGAACATAGACCCTCTTCAAAAGAGCTTTTGGAAAGAGCTCAAGAGGCTGATTTTCCGCTCAGTTTTTCAACACATTTCTAGTCTTGCTGCACGTGACTGTAACAAACATCTGTGACACAATGCACTGCCCTGTGACCTGGCATACCATCACTCCATCATTCCCATTCAGTCTCTGCACTCTTCAGTGTATTTGCCAATTTCTGTGTATCCTGTAGCTCCTTTATTCCCTTAGTGATGCTACCAAATAATACACCATATTTTGATAAATCTATGATGTTTTTCACATTGTTTACAAGGCAGATTGTATTTCACAAAATACAATCTCCACCACAAACAGGAAATCTCTGTGCTATATATATATTTATGTCCTCAAATTTCCCTTTTAAGCTTTATCTAGAAGCCTTTAAAAAAAACCCAAAACCCAAACTGTACAACAATCTCTTTAAAAGAAACACTAATACTAAACATAAAGAAACCACCAGACATTTAAAGTTGTCAGATGTCTATCAAAGTGTTTTCTTGTAACTACACCTAATATTAAGTCTCTCAAGTTATTAGGAACCTGCACCAATAGTTACTACACTGAGTTATTTTGCATTTGTGGAAGGAACAAATCAAACTGCAACGTCGTCTACCCAAGACTTTTTTCAGACTCTCTTTTATCCTGTGCAGTTACTAGCTGAATTCACACCCCCTGTATTATGCACTTTTTCACTGATTTAGACACTCCCAACATTAGCAGGGCAATTCTGCATCTTACTCCACGGTCACTGACTACACAACACCTGCCATGTGCCACGTGGAAAACTGCAACCTCATTTCACCTGGGTTTTGCTCTGACCCAGAAGATAAACCCCAGCTCTCCCACAGCTGTGCAGCTGGACTAGTTTCACACCAAAGTTTCACGTAAAAAAAAAAAAAAAAAACAAAACTCCACGAGCTTTACAGGCCACATCAGATTTCGGAAGCGCTGAACCCGCAGGAGCCGGTCTGCCACCTCGGCGCACCCGTTAAGACTTTTATATCCACTGCTGCTTCAAGCTTTAACATTGCCACCAGCTGCTCCGAGGTGACCCGCTCCTACCTAAAGCACACAGACCGGCACAGAGCTCCGGAGCGGGGGCCGGCTCCAGCCGCCGCAGGGCTCGGAAGGAGAAGCCGCACGGGCAGAGCACAAATCCACACCTCGGGCACGCCGGGCTGAGCCGTTTGACCCAAACCAACCCCTCACGCCGGCCCGGGCCAGCACCGCCCGCCCCGGGCCGTCCCTCCCCGCGGGGCCGCGGCCTCGGTGCCACACGATCCCCCTGGGTGCCACACGATCCCCCTCGGTGCCACACGATCCCCCTCGGTGCCACACGATCCCCCTGGGTCCCACACGATCCCCCCCGCGCTGCCGCCACGTCCCCCCGCCTCCCGCGGGGCCGGGCCTGCCACGTCCCCCCCGCGCCCGCCGTCGCCGCCGCGGTGCAGGATGCTCTCCAGGCCCAGGCTGTCGCCGAGGCCGCCGGGCTGCGCGGCGGGGGGCCGCTCGTTCTCCTTGTTGTCCCTGCCGTCCCGGGTCTCCTCGGCCCCGGCCCCGCGGCCGCCCTGCCGCTCCGCCGCCATCTTGTGCCAGCGCCGCGCTGCATCACGGGCCGGCAGCGGCGCGAGGGGCGCGCGGGGCCCGACGGGAACGGGGAGGACCCGGGGAGGGATCCTGAGGGATCGGGGGGGATCCTGAGGGAGCGGGGGAGGTTCGGGGACGCTCCCGGCCCTGGGGCTCACCCTGCCTTTGGATGCATCCACCCCCGGCCCTCCTGCCCTTGTCCCGCTCAGTCGCACACAGCCTGAGCCCCCCTCCAGCCCAGTCAGACTCCTCTGCCCCAGGGTCACCCCCGGCCCAGGGCTGACCCCAAATCAAACCCCAGGGTCACCCCCCAGCACTTTCCCACTCACCCACTCTTGTACTGACCCCCAAATCAGCCCCCAGGGTCCCTTCCCTCGCCTTGTCCCACTCACCCACCCTGGCACTGAACCCCAAATTGGCCCCCAGGGTCACCCCCAGCTCTTTCCCACTCACCCAGTCTTGTACTGACCCCCGAGTCGGCCCCCAGGGTCACTCCCCAACCCTGTCCCACTCACCCCAAAGATGACCCACCCTGGCCCCCACATCAGCCCCCAAAATCTCCCCCCTCCCATCACCTTTGCCCTCCCTCAGGCTGTGTACCTGGTTAAAGAAGAGACCCTGTGTTGTTATTTCAAAGCCCCGAACACACCCGAGTCCAGCAGCACTTCCCTGGAGCTATTTAAAGGTATAAATCTGATGGAAGAGCTTAAAACCAGGTCCTCTTGCACATGGGGTTTAAATATTTGAACCAAGCTTGGAGATACCTCGTTAGGGGCAAAACCCAAACTGTTTTGAGTACCTGATCCCAAATATTTACACAAACGTAGTGGTTATAACAGTGAGTGGTACAAAGCTGCTTCCACCAGGCCCAGACCTATCTTTGCCAGCCTGGGCTCTGCCTGCCTGGCTCCTCTTAACAACTTCAGCTCCTCTCCCCTTCCAAGGCCTCAACTGTGATCTCTTATTCCTGGTTTCAAAGTTCTCTTTCCTTCTCATGGACAGAAAACTCAAAGGGAAAAAAAATAAAAATAAAAAATCAACCACACCCTCAAGCTGCAGCTTTCTGTGGCAAATCTCTTAAACTGTGTCTGTCTGCTCCAGGTTCCCAACACATTTCCCAGGGATCCATTCCCTGTCCAAACCAAACTGGGCTCCAGGATGATGCTGAACTAAGCAGACATGGCAATTAAAGCCTGTTTTATGAACAACTGCCCTCCTCTGTGGTTCGGACAGACTCGGATTAGACTGATAAAGGCAGCACCCACCTTCAGGTGCCCCAGACAAGGGACCCACTCCAGTGGCATTGCAGCCACCACGTGTGGCACGGGCACGTTTCTTCCTCGTACCCTGACACAAAGCTTTGCTGCTCCTCTGCAGTCTGTAAGTGGGAGGATAAAGCTGCCAGCCACTGGCTCAGTGAGTGGATTCCTGCTGCAGGGCAGAGGGAGAGGAAGATCACACAAACCCGCAGCACTGCATCGAGCAGGGCCTTGGTGAGAGCCTTTCTGTGGGGCTGAGCTGCCCTTGGTGTCTCAGGGATAAATCCAGTGAGGGTTGCCAGCTCCAAACACTCACACCACGCAGAGACCATCCCCATGCCACCTGCCCCTGCAGCATGTAAGGGCTGGTATAGTCTAATAATATGACTTTTGGGGATTTGGAGGCCAGATCCCCATCCTGCTGCACCGCTGCCCAAATAACCATCCATGCAAGGTAACATCAGGAGCATCTCATCCTCACACCAAAGGGGTCTATCCACTTCCCCACATACCTTGTCCAAACATGAGCTGGTTTTGTGGGGCTTCTTATGGGCTGCTGAAGGTGAAAGAGGCTCTGTACCCTGCACTGGCAATGTCACAGGGCTGTGGGTGTCCCCAGAGCTCCCAGCACTGCTGGCAGGCTCAGCTCTGAACGTCCACGAAGAGAACTGGGAAGCTGTGGAGTGGGTTACTTACAGGGGTAATTAATGCATTAAATATTTCTCTTTTCCAAGGGAAAGGCAGCCTGGGGGACACGTGAAGAGTCCTTGGAGAGCTGATTGCGCTGGCCAGTCCCAAGACTTCAATCTGTGAAGGCTCTGAAGGAACAAAATAGGCAATTTTTGCAGGAAAAGAAGACAAGACGTGACAAAAATCTGTTCTTGCTGCAGTGAATCACTCTGACCCCCCAGCCCCGGGGAGAAATGCGGCTTCTCCTGCAAACCTGGGCTCACCTCGGGTGCTTTGGTGCAAGGATGAATTCAGCTGCATGCTGGACACATTTGCAGCCGGAGAGAAACCCCCATTCCTTAAAAAAACACCCCTGTAGCCCTCGGGGTTGAACAAGCCCTCTCCCAGCGACTGCCGCACGGGGAAGCAAGAAGGAAAACCCCCCAGATTTTGGGTGCCCAGCTCCCTTTGGGGCACCCAGCCCCGGCCCGGGGTGTAAATCACTAACAGATATTTACCCTGCATACCGGGGCAAAGCGCCCCCGGCCCAAGCCCCTGTGCCCGGGAGGACCCGGGATCCCCTCCCCAGGCTCGGGGCGCGATGCGCGGGGCCGGGCTGGAGCGGCCGCCCCGGAGCCGCCCCGGGGCCCCCCCGCTCCGGCAGCGCACGGAGAGCGCTGGATCCGCACGGCCGGAGCCGCACCGAGCGGCCGCGGGCTCCCGCCGACGCCGGAGGAGGTGAAGGGCACCCGGCTCCCCCCTGCATCCCCCAGCGCCGGCTCTCCCTGCACCCCCTTTCCCGGGCATCTCCCGTGCACTCTCCGTGCGCGCCTTTGCCCGTTCACCCCTTCCCTGCGCGTCCGCGGTGCGCTCCTCGCCGACCTCTCCGTCCACCCCCTGCTCCTTTGCATCCCTTCTGTGCTCCCCACTGCACTCTGCCTGCACCCCCTTTCCCCGTGCATCCCTGCTGCGCTCCCCAGCGAGCTCTCCCTGCACCCCTTTCCCGTGAAATCCCTGCCGACCTCTCTCCTTTCCTTTGCACCCCTGCTGCACTCCCCACTGCACTCCCTGCACCCCCTTTGCCCCCATATCCCTTCTGCACTCCCCAGAGTGCTCTCTGTGCACCCCTTTTCCCGTGCAATCCCTGGTCCACCCCTCACTGACCTCTCCCCGGACCCATTTCCCCTGCCCTCCTGCACCCTCCGTGCCTGCCCGGTGCCTTCTCCACGCACTCTCCCCCCCATCCATCCCCTCTCCCGCGCTCCCAGCCATGAACAGCTCGGTGGCAGGCTCCGAGGGGGGCTGGCATCCCGAGTCTGTGATCATCCCCCTGGTGTACCTCGTCATCTTCCTCGTGGGCACGGTGGGCAACAGCCTGGTCCTGGCCGTGCTGCTGCGCAACGGGCAGGTGAAGAACACCACCAACCTCTTCATCCTCAACCTGGGGGTGGCCGACCTCTGCTTCATCCTCTTCTGCGTCCCCTTCCAAGCCACCATCTACACCCTGGAGGGGTGGGTGTTTGGGCCCTTCATGTGCAAGGCTGTCCACTTCTTCATCTACCTCACCATGTACGCCAGCAGCTTCACCCTGGCCACTGTCTCCCTCGACAGGTAGGAAAAAGGGAATGGGAGGGCTCCCTGCTCCCTGAGGGTCCCCTTTCTCTAGATCTGCCCTAGGCAGAGAGGGGACACAATCCCCTGGAATTAAACCCTGATTGCTGCCATCTCCCAGGGCTCCCGGGAGAATCCAGGAGCATTTCCCAGTTGAAATGAAACCACCAAGGATGGGCTCTAGCAGAGGGTTGGACTGGGAGCCCTGTGCCCACTGCCCAGCTGGAGGAAGCTTTCAGACCCCAGAGCTGTAGGACTGGGCTCTGGCAATTGAAGTGGGAATGGAAAACCAGAGAAAAGCAAAGCTCAGGCCCCTGTGCTGTCGTGGCTCTTCCTGGGATGCATGGAGAGACCCTCCCAACAGCCCCGGGCAAAGCAGGCAAACCTTGAGGAGGAAAAGACACTGGGATATTTGAGCTGAGACACTGATTTTCCCACCTTCCCTTTCATTAGCAAAAAGTCCCTTTTTGTCCCAGTGCTGTCCCCTTGTTCCAGTGGTTGTCCCAGCCTTTTCCAGGGTAGTTTTCAGCCAGGAAGGCTGTTATTCCTGCCTGAGCTTTACCTCATGCTCACTCAGCCCCTGACTCTGCAAGGGCCGATGAGTTATGAACCTGCAGTGAGTGAGAGGCAGGAGCTCCTGGCGCTGCTTTGCTCTGTGCCTGAAACCTGCAAGATTGGATGTGGAAAGTCCATGTGCAAATCCCCTGGGAAGAGCCAGCCCCTGGATGTGTCCTGCCATCCCAGCAGGTGCTGGGACAGTGTCCCCAGGAGCTAAAACACAGCCAGGGGCTGCCACTCCCCCCCATCCCACTGAGCTGGGGGAACAGAGGTGCCAAGCAAGGGAGGGTTGCACAAGCCCCAGCTCTGGGTGTAATTAGGGAACCAGCTAATTAGGGAACTGAAAAGGGGTGATGTGCTTTCATGTGTGCCAGTGCGAGGAATTCTGTGTCTGGGGATCCTGGGGGATTGCTCCTGCCTTCCTATCCACACTGCTGCTATCATTTGTGCTCTGCCAGTCAGAGTAATGACCAAGTGAGGATCTGCTGGGTTAGGGAGAGGGACAGAAGGGGACCATACCCCTTGTCCCCACAATTACTGCTGGGAGCAGAGAGGGTGATGGGACAGGGTTGGGTGAGGACCTTCCTCACTCCATGCTGCGCAGGGACCCTGAGAAGCACCAGGGAATCAGTTGTGTAACTAATTGCCCTGGAAAACTCAAACCCATCCCTTGTGCCCTTCCTCCAATCTGCTCCCGGAGATGCTTTCTCTGTGCCCTCCCTAGGACTGCAGCTGTGTCCCTCTCCCTTTCCCACACAGGTATTTGGCCATACGATACCCCCTGCACTCGAGGGAGCTGAGGACACCCCGGAACGCCCTCATGGCCATTGGCATCATCTGGGGGCTTTCCTTCATCTTCTCGGGCCCTTACCTCAGCTACTACCAGGAATTCCAGCTGGCCAACCT